GTAAATGATGGTGCAGAGTCCCCATACACAGAATCCAACTCATCTTTGATTTGCGTAGGCGTATTGCCTTTCAAAAACAAATATTTAATGACAGCTCGATACTCGATTTTGTCCATTTTCACAAAAACACTCACATCAACTTACTCAAACGACTGTTACATAACAACTGCGAGTCCAAAATGGCTGAAACTTCGGTGAGTAACTGTCAACAGATGAACAACGAAATTCACTAGCTTTTATTTACAAGTGCTGCTATCTTCACGTTGAGGTCGGAAACTTTTCAGACCACCCTCGTATTGAAAGCTATATCGACATACGAAGATGACAAGTTCTAAGTAAGAACTCACATTCAAAACGAAAGAAAAGAGAAAGGTTAGAGAAAGTGAAGTATGAAAACATATGTCGCCTGATTCAGAAGACTTGCGTTATACATATTATTACATTTAAAAACGACATATTAGAGCGTTATCGCCACGACATGATGTACAAGAGACTTAAACTTTGTCACATGTTGTAAAAGAGATTTAAACAATTGATATCACAGGCCGCTGAAAATTTGTATTCTGAGTTGTGATAATTTCAGATCTCGGGATTGACTACACTAATTTTTGTCAGATTGGTCGCAATTGAAAGCTTACTCTCTAAATTTCTTGGAGCGAAAATCTCACTCGAAAAGTGGAGTGACAGCTGAATCATTCGAATTAAAGTGACTTCTCATTCTTATAGAGTGAATTCCTTCGCTTTATATCGTGAAGTGAAAATTTTCACTCTGTGTCGTGAAGTAAATTTTCGCTCGACAAATGGAATGACGACCGTTACTCGAGTTATAGAGCGACTTTTCACTCGTATTTTCAACTCGTGAAAGAGTGAATAATTGGGAAACAGCGTATATACTATTATAAGAATCACTCTCATCAGTTAATAACAGTGGCTCGATAAGTAAGTAAGACGAATGACTCGAGAACAGAAGTTCTCAGGTCCCACTATGGTCAGCGAATTTTCCCAAGCTTATTATAAGTGGAATTAACTTAATAGTACACCATTAAAAAGATTGTGCAATAACCAGAGATCTTAGCAACCGCAAACAGGATATAGAATTAAAGGTTTTTCTTTTTACCTAATCATAAAAATTCACTCGGAATGAAATTTTCACTCTAGTTGAAGTGAAATATTCACTCTTATGAAAAGTGAGATGTCACTCCATTCAGAGTGGCAGTATTTTCACTATCGCTTACAGTAAATATCCACTCGTTTAGAGTGAAACTTCACTCCAAGAAATTTAGAGAGTATATTAACGTTTCTGTCAGAAATGCAATTAGATTTTCCATTGCGGCTTTATTTCTCGAGATATTTTAGTTGAAAGTACGATCGTCGCAAAAACTCCGGAAAAGCTTCTTGGTAGCGTCGTATATTATAAACATAGTCACATCTCGGATCTGTCATTCTCGGATACTCGTCTTTACGTACTTGGCGTCGCGACGCTGCCGCGTCGCTTGATTAGGATTAAACAATCGTAATCTTTCCGATGCTCGATACCTCGAATACCAACGACGTAACTCGCAAAACTTGGCATTCGGCTCAAGCGTGCCTGACTCAATCTAATCGTATAATTTTAAACAATTAATGACAGACGACTTACCTGAGCACGTAGGCATCCACATGATCATTGCGGCAGAAGCTGATAATCTCGCAACGAACTATTTTCAGCAACGATTCCCACTTATGCCTGAAAAACAACGGAAATTTGTTTGATCATCAATTCACACGCGAAGGAAATTGATCTGAAACCGATCTACAGTTCACGACGGAATAGGCGACAAAATTTTCCTCAGGAATTTTCCACACGATGGAAAACGCCTGTAAAAGTTCTCACAGAAATGCGTGTGTATGTGCACACACAATGCGCATGTATAAGCGCAATTTTGATTCAAGTATCTTCTCGTGACACGGGAAGCTACACACGATATTCCGTCTGGAACTCTGTCGCGCATTATAGAAGCTATATGAAGCGTATTTTATGCGCGAATCGATGAGTTCGAATAAGCTTGCGTGACAAAGTGACTCGACGAAAAGTGATCGTTAAAATGGAATAAAAATTTAATTGAATCTTTGACACTGTGAAAAAGATCTACATACGAGCACGCTGAAACAGAATTCATCGAGAGATTCGATTATGCGGACGATTTCAGCTCTCGGCATTTTACAAAAGACTCCGCTCTTCATGTTTCATGCCTTTAATTAAGAGCTTAAGACTTTCTCGTGGAACACGTTTCCTACTCGTTTAAGACTCGATCATGTGGAAAGATTTTCTCCAGGAAAAACACTTGTCATGAGGAAAATCTGTTTGTTCTTTGGAATTATATCACTCGTAAATCTCGATACCAAAAACTCAATGATTCAAAAATAATAGCGCGAACCGAACTGAAATGTGTTATCATTCGAACAATGGTAGAAACAAATTTTAGTAGGAGAATTTTTCCCGAATTTTCTCGCGAAATAGTTTACCAAATGTCTCTTTAGGAGAAGACCGGTCAGGCTTCGTGGAAAGGTATTTTTCAGTTCTAATGATGCTTTTCTTTTCTAAAGAAAAACTTTGAAATGCTAATCAAGCAGATTCAACAGTAACTCACACAACACAACGTCTAAAATCGGAACAAAAGACGTCTGAAAGGCATCTTAAAGATGTCGGAATAAGACGTCCCTAAGATGTCTTTAGACGTCTTATGTCCCGATTTTAGACGTTGTATTGTATAGGAAAATACGGCACAACTAATTATACGGTTGCTGCAACCACAGAACAATTGCTGAGTTATTGGTGTTGTAACAGTGACTACATTTGGTTGCTCCAGAGTGTACCTATGGTAAATATTCCAAGAAATCAGTTCCAACTGATTTCTGGTTGCCACACAAGCAGATTACGCGCAGCTATAATATATTTATGTAGTTGACGTATCAAAATAACTGAGTCATATCAACTATACACATCACCATCATACAGAGATTTTTAGTAACGCTGAAATAGACTGTCAGTAAGGCAACCATCTTTTGTTAAGAATCATAGCAATTTCGCTAATAAAAATATAGCAAATTTTTTAATAGCACATATGAGATGGAATAACAATCAATTGTGATAAAATAGCGATCTATTCCTCGATTACAAAATCCTATGGTAATTTTTACTTATGGTAAATATTCCAAGAAATCAGTTCCAACTGATTTCTGGTTGCCACACAAGCAGATTACGCGCAGCTATAATATATTTATGTAGTTGACGTATCAAAATAACTGAGTCATATCAACTATACACATCACCATCATACAGAGATTTTTAGTAACGCTGAAATAGACTGTCAGTAAGGCAACCATCTTTTGTTAAGAATCATAGCAATTTCGCTAATAAAAATATAGCAAATTTTTTAATAGCACATATGAGATGGAATAACAATCAATTGTGATAAAATAGCGATCTATTCCTCGATTACAAAATCCTATGGTAATTTTTACTTATGGTAAATATTCCAAGAAATCAGTTCCAACTGATTTCTGGTTGCCACACAAGCAGATTACGCGCAGCTATAATATATTTATGTAGTTGACGTATCAAAATAACTGAGTCATATCAACTATACACATCACTATCATACAGAGATTTTTAGTAACGCTGAAATAGACTGTCAGTAAGGCAACCATCTTTTGTTAAGAATCATAGCAATTTCGCTAATAAAAATATAGCAAATTTTTTAATAGCACATATGAGATGGAATAACAATCAATTGTGATAAAATAGCGATCTATTCCTCGATTACAAAATCCTATGGTAATTTTTACCTATGGTAATATTTCCTATGGTAATTTATCCTATGGTAATATTTCCTCCGTGTAAAGTGACGCAACTATGCTGCTCGCAACTACAGATCTCTGAGTATATGCGCCATATCTTTTTTTCTGTGTACATTAAATCAACTGCCTATTTCTGCCCTGAAAAAATTGTCCCCGACAAATTCGCAAACAGGAGAAGAAGATCGGGTTTGCCAGACACCTCGCGTTAGTGGAAACCTGCGTGTCTAGCCAGATGGGCCGATTGAAATTTCGCGCGTCCGAAACCGATCAGACCTTGAGCGTTTCGTCCGGAGTGCAGTTGCTTCGTCGAGTGCGCTTCTAAATTTATTGTCACCGCGCGATATGCCGAAATAAACAGTAGTCGCGGTGATGCGGATTCTGCCTGAGACTCTCGGCGCGTACCTAGGGAGGTTCAACGACTCTCCGACACACGTTACAGAGCGTAAACAGCCATGACGACGAGGTCGTGGTCGCGCGGCTCGGTCTCTATAAATCTCCGGATTACATAATTTGCCGCATACACTTGGTCCATGTGGACGGTAGACCGCAATTCGTTCGAATTGTTGCTGAATATTCTCGCGATGCGAACACAAACGCGCGCGCGCGCATCTTCCCTTTCAAAGTTTCTCGGTATTCAGACACTTTTGGACGGAATCAAGCGTCTCACTGGACTATGTTTGAGCGCCAAAATTTCTTTAGATGTGCTTCTTTTCAACTGGACTAGTTGCAATGTTCTTCCTTTGACGTGAAGTAAGCATGCGATCAAACATTGAGAGAGAAAGGATGATGTTCAGTGCGAAAAGAACAGAAAAGCGACCGTGAATCTTCTTCAGCTTTAGGGTTGTTTAGACTTGCGAAAAGTCGGACAAGTAGTTACTCTTCGGAATTATGTCATTCGTAAGTCATCTCGATACTGAGAACTCAATGATTCGAAGATAATAGTGCGAACCAAACTGAAACTAAACTAACGTGCTATTATTCAAAGAATAATAGAAATAAAAATTATAATAGGAGAATCCTTCCCAAACTTTTTTCAAAAACACTTTACAAAGATCAAATTCTTCATCTTTCTAGTAACGGATGTTACTTCAAAAAAGACATTGTCAGAGATTATTTTTTAGTTTAAAATCATTTGTCAGAACAACTTCTAAAAGTCAACTTGAGAACATTTTCAAAATATTTCAGAACATTTTCGCGAGTTCATGTTGGAAGGAAAGATTCGTGGGGTTGATCCTTTGGTCATTTGGGTTTCTTTAGGCGGAAGAAAACAGCAGTCTCTCGAAATATCTCAGCCGAAGATTCGTAAGGACGATCCTGAGGAGAAATCAGCAGTGTTCCGAAGCGACACCGAAGAGTGACTCGCTGTGACGCCAAACCCACGATAAGTGTGCGTAAGCAACATCGGCACGTGTTGTGTATCGTTCTAGATATTCGCCACTTCGACAGGAACGCCTGAATCTCTCTGGCAAAGCAAACCGTACAACTTGCGGGACTACACCTGCGAAGAACATCCGTTTTTTCACTCAAAATGCGACCAGTGCATCGAAGGGGATCTACGACGTGGATCGTGCGCGCATTGCGATCCTCGGCGAGCAAACCCTCCGCGACACCCCTGACGTCTTAATCTTCTCTCCTCGCGGTGACTTACCGCTCGATAAAATACGTGACACGGTCGTGCACGAGGGAATATCGTTTTTCTTTTTCGACGAACGCGGCCCCGCGCGGGGTCTTCACGTCCGCACATCTCTGCGACCTTCGCTGGACGAAGTCACGCAGCATGAGATCCCGAGACCTCCCACTGTCCGGATTCCGTCTCTACGCTAAATTACCTGCCTCATTGAAATTCGACGTGACCGAGCCACGAAGAATGTCGTTACCGCGCTCAGGTAGGTTACCGTGCTTCCGTGACTCTTGCGTTTTCTCGGAAATTCTCCAACGCGAGAGAGACGAATTCTCAAGCAATCTCATCGAGACCGTCAAGCACGAAGCTCGCAAGGTCACAGAGTTCAGCCTTGCTGGTCGCTGTGTCCGCACCCGCCTTCTCGGAGTACACGGACACCTGGCGAGCTTCGTAGGTAGTGGGCGACGGTCCCTACGCCACTTTAGCGCTTATTTTTGGAAAATTGTCAAAAGCACGGTGTTGCGCGCGTAGGTACTTACGTACATACGTACGTCGACATCGACATCGACCGGGACGACGTGAACGATCAGGCCCGAGGCCGCGACTCCCAACGGTCGACGCCGGCGCGTCTCGTCGGTGTCCGTCCTCTGGCCGGCGTCGACTGTCAACGTCGTCGTCGCGAAAAAGAGAGAGAAGGAGAGAAGGAGAGAAGGAGAGAGAGAGAGAGAGAGAGAGAGAGAGAGAGAGAGAGAGAAAGAAAGAAGGAGAGAGAGAGAACGAGCGACGCCGGCAGCGCGCACAACTTACCGTGGTATACGCCGCAGATCGCCTCGATGCCCGTCCCTGGAGCTGGTGAACCAGATCTCCAGGAGCTTCTCGACCCCTTCGAAGAACTGTACGCTGTCGGCGCAGTTGTCTTTCGTGTCCGCCATCCTCTGGAGAGTATCTCGCTGTCGCCGCTGCTGCTGCTGCTGCTCTGCTGTCGTTTTCCCCGGCGCAGCGGTGGCGCGATGCTCGTCGTCGTCCAGCGACGTCTCTTCTCTCTCGCTCGCTCAATCTCAGTAGTCTCCTCGCTCTCGGTCTCCCTCTCTCTCCTCCTTGGGTCTCGCGCACGGAAGAACCGGATCGCGGGTCTTCGAGCAAAATCGAACACTCTCGGTGAACACCGATGACGAACACTGCTGTCTGAGCGCTCGCACACTGCCTGACACACTGACCACACCAGATCGCACACTGCTGACTGCTGCTGACTGCGATTGACTGACGGATCCGCCGGTGCTGCCAGACACGCTGCGCCGCCGCCGCCGCTTGCACACCGCGCCGGCGCCCGTTTCTCCGCCCATGGTCCGTTGGTCGTCATAATCCATTGGCCCGTTCCGTTCGTCATCGCGGAAGACCGGACGGGACCCGCCACCGAGCATGCACGTAGTACTCCCGCGCGCACCCACCACCTACGCGCCAACGTCACGTGACCCCGCGCCGCCGGCAGGTGCGTACATTGACGATCGTATTTTTTCGCGCATTTTCTATCCGCCATTTCGCTCAATGACACGCGATGATACCTCTCGTTGAGTGCTCCCGTCGAGTGCCTGCGCGCGGCCGAAGTTCAGGGAATCATCCACCGAGGCTGGTGTTGGCGAGCGCACGTAGGATTCCTTCTTTTCCTCCGAGAAACCGTCGTCTTGCTCGCTGCACAGCTCGCGCGCGTCTGCAGAGTGGCGCTGCCTACGGCGGCAGGCAGAACTAATCCCGCGCCAATCACCGATAAACAAGGTCGGGATGCGCAATGTGTAGCAACTTCGCGCAATGTGTAGCAACTTCACGCAACGTTCTACACCTAAGAGTGTAGAGAATACTCGAAAGAGTCCTTAGGTGTAGAAAGACAAATTTGTTCGTCGATTTTCCGACTCCACGCAGTTTATTCGCTTCTTTGGTATCAATGAGCTATTGAGATGTTTGTTACAAACAGCAAACTAAAGATCTAATTAATTCTCTTCTTTTTCTTCAATTTTGGCTCCAGGCTTCCCTAGGAAATTTGTCCCAACGTCATTCTCCTCTTCAACTTCAATATTTGGCTCCAGGCCTCTCTAAGAGTTATGCCCCAACGCCATTATTCCGATTTATGATATATTTCGAGAGTAAAGTCTTGGAAAATTCCAAGGCACGTTCCAAAAAATCACAAGGTCCGAACTTGTTCGAACACCTCTTGCCATTTTCCTCTAATTCTAATTAGTTCTCGAGTGCGCTCTCGCACGATCGAGTGATCAATCGATTACGATCGATTACGCGCTATTTCATGGAAAATTCAAACTTTCGATATTCAATATTTTCACTACGTAATTATATAAAAAAAAGTTAGAAAAGCATCTTTTTGATAGGCCAATTCTTACAAGAGATCAATCGTTATGTGCAATAAATATATTACACATTATATATATATATATATATATATATATATATATATATATATATATATTACACATAAAATAATGATTATGAAAGATTAATGGTGTTGATCATTTTATAGAACTATAGTTTTACAAATCATAACAAAGGTGGTCAATTTAATTAATTCTCAGTACAAGGGATATTATTTTACACTATTATATCCTACTCGTGTTTCATTTTCTTGTTCTTCATGCTGTTCTTTTTCTGTTTATCGATACGTCGTTTCACCATCGGCTGCTTCTCTAATAACACTTCTTCAGTCATGGGTTCAATCAGTTGACCAGATTTAGTGACCACCGATGGTTGAATCAATCGTCTGTGAGCATTCTCCGGCACAAAGGGTCTACCCAGAGGAGGAGCTCTGATGCTTGCTTCAAAATCCCTAACGGTAATAAATGGATACGGCAGTTCATTAACAAGGTGCTCTTTTAACTTCTGATTCTCACCCTCGAAGATTATCACATCACCTTTATTTTCGTCTTTACGCGGTACGTTCTTGGGAAACTTTAGTATAAATCGTTTATTCTTACGTCTCATTTTGCTTTTCTTGATGTTTGTTCCCGCCCAGCTTCCCCATCCAGGTAAGCTCGTGTGGTTAATAGTTTCTGGTTGCGAATTCTTAATCTAAAAGTATTTAGATTTTTTATTAATAATATATTAGATTTTAGATTAATTTTTATGTCATATATATAATTACAGAGATTTGCTGATATTCAATTAAAATAAATTAACGATATTTTAAAGGGCTCTTTGTGTATGTGAGATAGAATCAAGTATTAAAAAAAGTCAATGAAAGCTAGTACAGAAAAAGTTGCGAGGATTAAAATATTTTATTAAAATATAAATTAAAGCAGAAGTAAAAACCACGCACACAATCGCACTTGGTATTGTGCTAATAAATATAATCAAAAGTGTAAAATGAAAATCTTGAATATTAAATAATAGCAGAATTCTTAATTTCTTCATTAATGCAATTGTAAATAGCATCGCAAGGTCGTTGTATGCAAACAATCGTTTAAAATATTTTACATACCTCCTCTTCCTTCTCCTTTCTAAATTCCTTCTCGGCGTCGCTATTTTCCATTACTTCGTCTATGAATCTATCAAAGTTTTCTTCCTGCTCATCGTTATCCAGCACGTCCTCCTCATCTACATCTAAATCCGGTATTTCCGTCTTTAGATGCTTCGACTTTATGTTCATCGAATGAGGATTCTGCAAATTGATTTCCCCCACGCGACTATTTGATTTGATTGTGGGTTCTTGCTCCCCAAAAAAAATATATTAAGGATAATCAATATATTATTATATAATGTAAAAAAGAGCGTAGTTATCTTATAAATTTTATTGAATAAGTACGTACTTGCTATATTTGGCTCAGAAATCTGTTTTTCTAACATATCATTTGATATATTGTCTAATTTGTTGACAGATGACTTGGATGCGCTATCAACCTTCGCCACACTCTCTTCTTCGGATTCCTCTTCCTTTCTATCGCGGTGCTTCAAACAACCTTTAGCAAATTTACTAACTTCATACTTAGTCTTTGTATACGATTTCTTATTTTCGTCTAATTTGTTGGCAGGCGACTTGGATTTGCTGTCAACCTTCGCGACAGTTTTTTCTTCGGATTTCTTTTTATCACGATACTCCCGATAACATTCAATCAACTCATTGACTTCAGACACCGTCTCGCTATTGTTAGGTGGTTCCTCAACCATGTTTGCAAACGTAAAGGACGTTTTATCTTCGTCATTATCGGAAGCTAATCTGACTTTTTGTGTCAAGTCTCTACCAATAGACAACTGCTTGGCAAGCTCCTGTCGAGTCTAATAATAAAATACGTTAATATATTGTTCTTCAATAATTAATGATATAATTAATGATTCTCATTAAAAATTAATCTTTCTTATCGAGTTTTAGATGAAGAGAAGATACTCACTTCCTTGTCATATTTAGCTCTGATCTGTTTATTCTTGGCCCATTGACCAGTGCTCTTGTGTCTCAGCGACATTCGTTCTTCCGCACGACTCTTGTCCAATTGTGCCAGCATTGTCAAGGCTTTTTCCGGATCAGTTTTTTGCAATTTCTCAAACTCCACCAACTGTTCCTTGTCTCTCTTCTTCCGCTCTGTACGATGGAATTTTTTGCTTTTGATCTTACCTTGACGATGCGCCTTCATCTCTTGATACGACTAAAAGTAAAAGAAGTAAAAAAACAATCAGAAACAATCTCTAGTTTAGTTTATTAGTTATGGTTATTAGTTTAGGTTATTAGTTTGGACTGCTTTCTCTCTTATTGATAATTTCTAGATAATTACATTATGAATATTTTTATTTTACCTGCTGTGCCCTATATTTGGCAGTTTCGCTTCTTTTCTTCTTCATATCCTTCAATCTCATCTTGAATTTTTCTTCTTCATTATCTCTTCTCTCCTCCTCAGGTGGAGAGTCTTCTAGTTTTGGATTTAATTCTTCCAACTTTTGTTGTAAATCAGACTTAAATCTAAGATGATTTATGAAATCTGCTGGGGAATCAATTTTCAATTTTTGCTTAGGAGTTTTCAGTGGAAAAGTTAAATGTGTTGCTGTTCTATTTTTAGCGACTATAGCATCCCATCTTGATAAATCTTTCAGAGTACACTCAAAACCAAATCTCATTTTTACCTAGATGTGATTTAAATTGATATAATTTTATGTTTTGTCTTATATAAATTCTCTTATTAAATTAGATATTTGTGGCTTTTGCAATGTGAAATAATGTTTGTTTTGGTTTTTGGAATTGTATTTTCTGTTGCAAAGAGTTGAAAACAGAAGAAAAAGGAGAGAAAAAAAGAAAAGGAAGAAACAGATAATATTACAAAAAAATATTTTAACTTAATATAATATTACAAAAAAATATTTTAACTTAAAACAACAAAAGTACAACAGCTCTAGAAGATTCAAACCAATAAATATTATCAAGGATAATAAGAGCCAAATCGCTAGTGTTAAACGCTTATGATTTACATATAATAAAAAAATAAATAAGTTTTTATTCGAACGTTTTGACCATTGGATTTGGTCCTCTTCAAACAATGGTCAGTAACAGAAGTAGTCAGTAACAGATGATGGTCAGTATGAAGGTGTCCATATAACGAGAAATAGCAGGATAATTCTCATGCCCAGTATTGACAGTTGGTTACGGAAGCAAGTCAAACCCATCACATCAATGTTTATAAGCTACTTAAACAATGCAAACAAACTCGCAAATCTACGCAAGACTAGAAAAACCGCAAGTATAGAAAAAAGTCGCATAGTTAAAAATTTTGCAAAAATTAAACATTCTTATCAAAAATATGAACAAAGGACCAACCACAACCCAACAGAAAGAATAGAAATACAGACAGCGAGTTTACGAAAGCCAATATTTCGTGTTATAAAGAATAAGAATAACCCGCAATCAAAACAGAAATTGTAAACAAGAAATAGGCCGATCTTAGAGACATCTGTCATGGATTAAGTTCAATAGAGGAAAATAAACATTACGCTTCAATATTCAATTGAATTCAAGCTGTTAGTTTGATTTTTTATATGCATATGAATATATATATAATATATATTCATAAATAATTTCAGAAATAAGACTTATTTATAATAAATAAAAACTTTTTATTTTTTTATTATTTGATTATACGTAAATCATAAATGTTTATCAACGATTTGGCTCTTATTGTCCTTGATATTTATTTAAAAAAATATTGTTTAGTAAAGTGTGAATTTTTATAGATAATAGAGGATACATTTTCACATTAGAAAGCTGCAAATATCAAGTTGCATACGTACATTACGTCAAATAGCTTGACAATAACTTACCTTTTCAGCAGTTGGTTTTTCCAATGGCTTGAAAATAGCTTTACTTTTTTGAATAGATCGAAGCTTTTTTGTAATTTGGCTTTGATATCCTTTCTGCCCCAATGATTTAACCAGATCTCGAACCTGTACGGCATCCTTGTTGGTTATTGCACTTTTTACAAGATGGAACTCTGAGACCTCTAAAGTGGGCTCACTCCTTTCCGCTTTATTTACTCTACAAAAAGAAGTAAAAAAAACAATGAAAACATTCAGATCTATAAAATTAATGGCGGGCTTATTAATGCAAAATTCTTTTCACCTTTGCTTTTTATCAAGCTGCGCTATAGCTTCGATGAATTTCGAGTGATTCTTCGAAACTTCTTGATCACTATTGTACGCGACTTCTAAGTCACTCATCTTTGCAATCGCATTAATTTAATATTTTCTACAGTAATAGTATAAACTTAATCTAGTCGACCTAGGTTTCCTTCCTTCGTTCCTTCCTTCCGAATTGGTATACAGTCCTTCTACCTAGGATCAGAGAGAAACCTGAGAGCGGCCACGCCATACGTTTTGGCCGACATCGATTTTCACGCTGTTCGATGCGCCATCTGCACTCATTTTTGAGGTGGAACTACATTCCCTACACCCATTTTCAGACGCTGCCCATTTACAGATTGTAAATAATCAACAAAATAAAATTCCGAAATTTTATCGAAGACTCTCTTTTAATGGTCAATATATTGTGAATGGATTCTAAAACATTAAAATTTACTCAAAATAGAAGACGTCTAAATTGCCATTTTTCTAGACGTGCATTTAGACTAGACGTAACTTAGGCTTCTCCGACGTCGGTTAGACGTCGAATCGACGTCAGCGTTCTCGTTGGGTTAGCCAGCCAGTATTTCCTTCCTTTATATTCAAATTCTTCGGAGAGTTCATTTTGAAATATATTTAATAATTCGTTTCTCATCTTGACTATTATGTCGGTATGGTCTAGGTCCCTTCTCATAGTCCCTGGAACATTTTTAGTTGTAGTCAGTTTCGCAAATCTGTCAGACTCTTCGTTTCCATGTATCCCCATATGTCCTGGTATCCAAACCAGGCGAAGTAGATCTTTCTTAATTTGCACCATACTAAATTTGTTTAAGATGTCATAGATGATATTCGGTTTCTTTTCCTTTATGTCGGGGGAGCCAATACTTTTGAGAACACTTAGGACATTCGAACATATACACGCAGAATCATGTTTCAAATTCAGAAATATACCCAATGCATGTAGAATTGCCTTAACCTCGACATTGAATATACTAGGGTGTATATCAGTTGGACACGGGGCAATTGGACACAGTCCAATCACAAGTCGCTGTTCCAAGGGACCCTACAAATGTCTCTAATCACACGGTGCTGTGATTGGCTGTGTCCAAATGCACCGTGTCCAAGTGGGGTGTATATCAGTTGGCCACGGGGCAATTGGACACAGTCCAATCACAAGTCGCTGTTCCAAGGGACCCTACAAATGTCTCTAATCACACGGTGCTGTGATTGGCTGTGTCCAAATGCACCGTGTCCAAGTGCACCGCTCCCAATATACTACCGCCACTCGCTACCGGGATTGAATCGTTGATCTGAGGAGAGGAGATCCCGAATCCTGCGTTTCCTTCTATATTAATAGATCCATCCGTGTATATGATACAGGAGCTCTTGAATGACTTCCCAGATAGCACGATGGATGAATTTTCTTTAAGTGTTCCTAAAAGTTTTCTCCTTTCCTGAATTGTACTTCCTTAGGAATTCGTGGAAGAATACTATAAGAATAATTTAGGAAGTTACATGCACCATGATTGGAGTTTCTTCAGAACTTCTTAGAGTATTCATATAGAATTACTTCAACTCAAGATTTCTTTGGATTTAATTAAATTTTATTGTATTCACACGAAAGAAAGATCAGAAAACTTTGGCCGGGGGTGCTTTGCTCTTGTGTGTATCTGTAAATGTCCACTTTTAATGCCATATGAGATGAAAAACATCAGACTCGGCTGGGATCGAACTCGGGTCTTCTCCGCTTGCAACCGCTCTTTCCACTGAGCTATTTAAGGCTCCTGGGGAGTCGCATCATCCATCTCTTTTTAATGACGTCAGAAGCGAGAAAACGCATGCTAAAAATTCCTGCAAAATACGTCGAGATAAACAGATATATCCACAAAACGACATTTGCGATCGATTAAGTACACCTCTAAAATACTCCGTACACTTTCCTTTTGTTCTAACAATCAACAGATAATTATAAAATAAATGTGACGTGCAATCGTCTTTTCTAACCTAATTTCCTCATTATCTTGTCATATTAATTTTCCGATTATCTATTGATTTTTAGAACAAAAGGAAAGTGTACGGAGTATTTTAGAGGTGTACTTAATCGATCGCAAATGTCGTTTTGTGGATATATCTGTTTATCTCGACGTATTTTGCAGGAATTTTTAGCATGCGTTTTCTCGCTTCTGACGTCATTAAAAAGAGATGGATGATGCGACTCTCCAGGAGCCTTAAGACTTCATGTTTAAGATATCTATATACCTAGTGAAAAATGATTCGTTGATTGACGTCAAAATGATATCAAATTGACGTCGGTTTGACGATTTCAACGTTTATTTGATGTCATTTTGACGTCAATCAACAAATCATTTTTCGCTGGGTACTGTTCAAACTGTTATAACTGTTATACTGTTATATATACTGTTCTAACTGAGCTTCAAATGTAAGTAAAGCGCACTTTCAAATATGTAATTCAAAATTCAAAAATAAATGGTTTTCAAATAA